AAAGAGGACATACAGATGGCCAACAGGCATATGAAAAAATGTTCAACCTCACTTAGCATTAGGGAAATGCAAATTAAAACCACAATGAGATACCAACTCACCCCGGTCAGAATAACTATCATCAATAAATCAACAAACAAGTGCTGGCGAGGTTGTGGGGAAAAGGGAACCCTGGTGCACTGCTGGTGGGACTGCAGACTGGTGCAGCCACTATGGAAATCAGTATGGAGGTACCTCAAAAAACTGGAAATGGAACTACCTTATGATCCAGCAATCCCACTCTTAGGTATTTATCCAAAAAAAATCCAAGACATTAATCCGAAAAATATATGCACCCCTATGTTCACTGCTGCGCTATTTGCAATAGCTAAGACTTGGAAACAACTGAAATGCCCATCAGTAGACGACTGGATTAAGAAACTATGGTACATTTACACAATGGAGTATTACTCAGCTATAAAGAAGAAGGAAATAGTACCATTTGCAACAATATGAATGGAACTAGAGAGCATTATGCTAAGTGAAATAAGTCAGTCAGAGAAAGACAAATACCATATGATCTCACTTATACGTGGATTCTAAAAAACTGAATAAATGAGAAATGTAAACAGAAATAGTCTCAGAGACACAGAGGAAAAACTGAGGGTTGCTAGTTGGGAGAGAGTGGGGATGAAGGAGATGGGGAAGGGATGAGACAATACAAATTGATAACTACAATATGGTCTCAGGGATACACAAGACAGTCTGGGAAATATAATCAATAATGTTTAAATATTTTTTAGGGGGCCAGATGGACTCATGTCTTGTTAGGGAGACCACTACTTAGTTGGTGTAGAGGCCTGACCACTGCACTGTATATCTGAAGCTGATGTTGAATAATAATAATGTATGTCAACTATAATTATATATACATATAGTCACGTGATGTGGAGTAGAGAGTGGGAAAGGAGTCAATGGAATTGTAACATGATATCAGGGGTGGGAGGGCAGTAGACGGGGGAGGGGATTGCTACTTTGTGAGGGGTGAAAAGAATAACTATTGCATTGTTCTGTACACCTGAAACTAACAACAACAAAAATAAAAAATAAAATAAATAAATTTTAAAAAGAAGGTAAAAATATTGATAGGTATGTACTCCTTGCCACTTTTAAATTGTGCACCCAGAAGCTGTGTAACTTTACTAACAATTGTCACCCCAATAAACTTTAATTAATAAAAATTTCTCTTGTCCCAGACACAAAAGTATATTTCTTTATTATTATTATTATTAAAATTTATTAGGGTGACAATGGCTAGTAAAATTACATAGGTTTCAAGTGTACAATTCTATGTACATCATCTATATATCACATGTGTGTTCACCACCCAGAGTCAGTTCTCCTTCCATCACCATATATTTCATCCCGTTTACCCTCATTTACCACCCCCCTCCCTCCTTACCCTCTGGTAACCACTAAACTATTATCTGTGTCTATGAGTTTTTGTTTCTTTATTTGCTTGCCTTGTTCCTTTTTACATCTACCTCATATGAAACACCCACTTTACAGAAGAGAAAATGGAGTTTCAGGGAAATTGTCATTTGCCAACAGTCAGCCTTCTAGTAAATGTCAGTGCTGGGAACAGATCCCAAGATTGTCTGATTCCAACATCTGTGTTCCTTCCAACCTTGCTGCTCTCCCAAGGGACTGTGTCTTTTTCACCTTTCTGATTTCCCAAGGTGCCATACATGTGCTTACCTGCTTGTACATGCTTAGTAAATATGGAATAACCTGAATGTGCTAGGATCCCCAGGTGAGCCCCTGTTGATATTTGTCTCCACAGGTGATGACCATGCCGGAATATCTGAGGAAGCGGTTTGGTGGGAAGCGACTCCAGATCTACCTGTCCATCCTCTCCCTCTTCATCTGTGTGGCTTTGAGAATCTCAGTGAGTTCAGTGCTATCAGTGTGTGGGCTATCAACTATAGACAGGGTCAAGACATATGGATGCCTTAAACTACCTGGGGTCTCTCTACCAAGTTTTTTATGGGAAAAAGGAGCTTCAGAGACCCTGCATTAATAGAGTAAAGTAATTTCAAGTCACAAGAGGCTCCAGAGTGTAAACCCACCCTTTTACTAAGGGTATAAAAAATATGGATGTACAGAAAAAACAAAATATCTCCTTCAAGTAGCACAGCTATTTACAATGGTATACTAGAAAACAGGATTCTTTGGCCCCCTGCATCTCCTCTTTATTCTCTTTGTCAGTGCCAGTCTATTTATTTTCAGCTTGATTATCTGACATGTGAACAAGAAGGAAAGTGCTATGTATTATGATACTTACTTTTTTAAACTTATTTTATTTAAGACCACCACTATAAAACAGATGTCACAAAGAAGTATTTGTATAAAGTTAAATTTCTTGGAGATAATCACTGAGGGGAGAAGAAAGGAATTTGAGGGGTGACCAGTTAGCTAAGTTGATTAGAGTGTGGTGCTGATAACACCAAGGTTGCTGGTTCAATCCCCACTTGGGTGACTGTGAGCTGCGCCCTCCTTAAAAGAGTCAACTATGCCATTTTAGCATGAAATCAATGTGTAACCAATGACCATGGCTGTTCCCCAATAAAATTTTTAAAAAGGGAATTTGAAGATTCAGCAGCATGTGTAGAAAAGAAAGAAAGAGTAACTCATTTTTGTCTCATGTATTGGTGACTAATGACTTAATCTCCTGCAAGTTCATAGTCTAGTCAGTTCATGAGAGAATAAACTGACCCCCACTGTTGCTCTTCTGTTGAGCTAAGTAATTGGTGGAAGTAAACCAGCTGATTAGATAAGATGGCATGAGCCTTCCTAATGCAATGTGAGCATTTCCCAGCACTTGCTATATACTATTGAGCTCCATGCTAGGGTTAACAAAGATTCCTGTGCACTAGGAGTTCACCATATGGTTAAGGAGATAAAAATTTAACTATGAGATTGTTCACGCTTCATGATAATATCTGTAAATATATTACAATGTAAGCTGGACTAGAGTGTGTGGACAAGTACAGGAGACATGTCGTGGACACCCAGGAAAGGGGGTGTTCCCTGCTGGGTGAAATGGGAGGTTGTCCTCATGGGGAGAGAGAAGGCACTTAAACAAGCCCCCAGGACTGGAAAATTAGGTGAGGCCAAGGGAAGTAGAGGAGCTTGCAATGTTCCATAAGTGAATGGGACTCAATGATCTCCCAATTCTCCTCTGTCTCTGACATCTCCAGGTTTGGGGTCCTAAAGAGCAAAAGCAAGGTGCTGGAGCAGAATGACAGTGCCAAAGGGGCTTTAAGGGATGCAGTTTCTTGCAGTAGAAGGTTCCTGGTAGTGGGGAGGAGATAGAATGATGGGGAGCTGAATGGACTGTGCAAGGGCTATGGTCAGCTGGAAAGATACCACAGCAGGAGTTCATTCTTACCTACAAGGTTATGTTTTAAGTGATGTTAATAATGATTAATCTTAGACATGACCTTTTGTGTACTATTATACTCTGATAACAGATTTTGTCCTGGTTACTCATTAAACAGATTATTATAAGGAGTTAAGACAGAACAGCTTTGACAGTCCTCCCCTGCTACAGTTTTGGAAAAAATCATCTTGTTCATTGGTTCTCAACCTCCAATAATACATATACTGAGAATCTTTGTACACATGATGTCCCTTTACCCCTAAATATTTCAGTCTCTATGCCTTAAAGACATTGATGCTCTGTTAGAAAACCACACTGCAAATTTTTTCAATCAGGAAATTAAGTTTGATACAAACTAATATGGAACCTACAAACTTTGTTCAGATATTGACAATTGTTCTAATGATCTTCAAGAGCAAAAGAAAATCCTCGATCATGAAATACTTATTTTATATGAGAAGTAGTTTATAGTCATTATTAATATGATTAATTCCATTGAATTTTACATGACAAAATGGCTAAAATTTCAAGTTTTATGATATCCACAATAAAAAAATCATCGTTAATTTAAGCTACTTATATATAAGTTCAAAATCATCAGTTTAATGCCTTAATTGTACTATATAAGAGAGACAAAAGTCAAGGAATTCATAATAAGATCATGTGTGCTTTAACGGGAAAATGATTAGGTATGAATACACAAGTCCTAATGCTGTGGTTAAGTAATTGCCCTCCATCTAGGTCAGTATGAATGTCACAACTATAAATGCAGACAGATGCATGTATATTTCATGGCAACTCAAACACGAGTGACAACTCAGGTGATATCTTTTCTGAAATGGTAAATAATTTTTTGACAAATATCCAGTTTTATAAAATGTACTATCTTCCCTCAATTTACACAGTAGTTGCATTCCTTTAAAACCCAATAATAACAAAGTTGCGGGAACTACTTAGTGTTTGTAACACAGAGTTAGGTTCTAGGCTTAGATAACCAAGAACAGGCTTTTCATCAACACGAGTGTCTGGCAAGATGATAAAATGTCACGTTTTATTTCAAATCTTAGGAAGGAAAAAAACTACCATCTCCTCTGACACTCCTTCCAAACCCAAGTTCCACAAAGAAATCTACCTCTAATTCTCCTGATTCTGAACCCTGCCACTTTACCTCTTTCTCTCACCTCACTCATGCTTTCCTTTCCCTTAGATTCCATGATCGATCTTCATAACTACTCTTCAGCACATAGCCTCAATTTCTTTGCCACTCTCCCCTTTCATTGAACTCCCCTAATTCAATTTCATTGAATTCCAACCCTGAGTGAGTCCAGCTTCCCACTTACTCTATGCCTAATCCAGGTACTATTTTACTTCTGTATTTCTAACTAGTCTGCTTATATGCTATGTCTCAGGTTTTTATTTTGTTTTATTTTGGTTTTTCATTTTTCAATGAGGAGCCTGGTGGCATCAGAGTTGAAGGGGCAGATCCAAGTGGGGCCAGTGCAAGTTGTGTTGAAGAAAGATCAGGGAAACTAGGAAGCACACTTTGGGGGTCCAGGAGTCCAGGCAGAGCTGGGTGGACATGATCTTAGAGTCTCTCTGCACAACTCCCTGCTGACCTCTAAATCTCAACCAATAGTCTTTTTGCCTGTGTTTTTTAAACTACTTTCCCTGATCCCCTCAATGACTATTCCAAACTCTTCATAACTTTTTTAGCTCCTGGACCTCTGCCTCTTATCAGAAAGCCTCATCCCCCACTTTATGTAGAAAATTTAGGCATGAACCATTTACACCCCACCCCCACCCCATTCAAATAGTGTACATTTGCTTCATTCTTCCCTTCTTTCCACCACTCTTAAATGAGGACTCTTCCTTTTGTCAAAGGCCACCCCCTTAGCCTATGCCTACTCTTGATCCCATCTCTTCTCAATGTCTCTGGCTATCTGCTTCATAATTACTGCCCCCTCCATCATGTTGTACCTCTTACTTTCTACTACCTCAAACATGCTCAAGTATCTTCCTTCTGAACATAACCATTTCTTACTTTGGGGCTCCTCTGTCTACTCTCTAGTTTTTATTGTTGTTTCTCTACTGACAATCACGAAAGAGCAGTCTACACAAGCTGTATTATAGACATTTCTCATTTTCCATTCACTCATTCATTGTTCCTCTCTATGGCCAGTCCAATAATTAATCCTCTGAAGATGAGATCTGGCTTCCAAGGACTTCATAACTGGATTGCAGAGATGACATGTGTAGCTAACAGTAAATATTAGTGAGAAGTCATCAGTGAAGAGCTCAGTGATGCAATGTATGTTTCTTTTCTATCCTGACTGTTCCCCTTTTAGATGGATATATTTTCTGGAGCCATATTCATCAAGTTGGCCCTGGGATTGGACCTTTACCTGGCGATCTTCATCCTCTTGGCTATCACTTCTATCTACACAATTACCGGTGAGTCCACTGCATGGTTAGCTCAGTCATGCTATCTTCTGCGCATCTCATCCCAATCTGCAGTTAGCAACCTCAGTGTTAGTGTTGTGACCAAGATAAGGATATCCTTTTATTCCCATTCTGAGAGTCAGCACTGCCTAGAATCACAACTAGAATGAAGGAGACAGAATCCTTGGTATTAGGTATGAGCACCTTGATTGAGGATAATTATATGGTGGGTGGGGGAAAATGCTAATTTGGCTTAGCTATGTGTTCACTACCTAGCTGGGCATTTGGAATCCAGAGTATCATACACATGGGAGGTCAGGATGAAATAACAACTCATACACGAGACTGGCAGGACCCAAATGAATACAAGATGCCAGGGCCTGGGAGTGGGCTCTGAATGGCAGAGCCAGGAGAGAACAAATAGAGCAGTAGGTTGGTTGTGGGAGAAGGTATGTGACAACAGTCCAAACCAGCATTCATGAACCGGGTACATTGGTATAGTGTCTCATCATACTAACTTATGAAAAGTAAAGTATACCAGCTCAGTTGGAAAAGCAAAGAAAAATAAAAGCTTGAGTAATCAAGACAGTTCTGGGGCCATTTTCATACATTAAATAAGAGAGCTGAATAAGCTGAATTCTTTCAGAATATACAGAGGATGGCAAAAAAAGTATATACTTTTTTTAATTCAATTTTTTATTAAATTATTTTTTATTATGAAACACATTTTTTAGAATTAGTTTCAGCTGTACAACAAAGTGCAATAGTTATACTTTTTACCCCTCGAAGTGACAACCCCCCTCCCCCAATCTGCTGCCCCATTTCCCCCCAATAGCATACATACCTATTACAAATCCCTTGACTCCACTCCCACACTATACTCCACATCCCATGACAATATATATATATATATATATATATATTCAATTATAGTTGACATACAATATTATACAACATCAGCTTCAGGTGTACAGTGCAGCGATCAAGCCTCTTCCCCATCCATGATGCAAGACATGTGACCACCTAACACCCTACAAAATATTCACAACATTATCACTAATTCAATTTTTTAAAGATTTTATTGGGGAATTGAGGGAGGGAAACAGCGCTGGGGAATCAGGGGAAGGGGAACAGACAAGTTTCTGTCCTTTTGTTCTTCAGTCTAGTTGTGAAGGACGTTGGTTCACTGGCCCATGTTGGCATCATAATTGTGCTCTTCCTGGGTGAGGCAGATTGGTCGCTGGCCTCTGGACGGTCGTTCATGGTGGCTCTTCACAGCTCACACTGGCTGCTGGCTGCTCACATGGTAGCTTATGGCAGCCCACTGCAGCAGGGGTTGCAGCCTATGCTGTTGCCGGCGGACCCCTGGCAACCCAGCTCCAGGTTGAGCTGCTGTTCACCATCTTAGCTGCAGAGGGCAGTGTCACTGGCCCTCATGTGGGATCCAAACCAGGGCCCTGCTGCTCAGAGCTGGCATCCCAAGCCAGCTCCTAACCAACACACCACTCGGCTGGCCCATATGTACATTTTAATAAAGGGAAACACTGTGTTAAAATTGTAATACTCAATATATACTGATAACAAAAGATGAAAAGAAGTCACGTTTGACTTCTGCAATTACAAGAGGTGCTCAAAGTGGTTACCATCAGTGTAATTTTTTTTGTCTTTTGAAAATATCTCATTTATCTAATTTTCAAATTAAAAAGTGTTCCAAAACACTGAGAATAAATATTTTTAAATTTGAAATTACAATTATATTTAGTAATTAATGACAAAATACAGAATGCCATCCAGTATGTCTCAAATCTATCTGAGAAGTGTACACTGAGATAACAAATTAAAGAAAAAATTTATTTATATCCATGGAAGCAGAATTTTTTTTCTTTTAAAGCAACGTCTCAGCCCTCCACCCCCACAGTGCAGGGTAGGCCCCAAACTCCTAGAACCCAGCCTAGGACAGCCTCCCAAGTGTATGGGGAACAGAAATGGAAATTATGTTCTGGTGGGAAGTTAGTATAAATTTGCAGACTCTGCACAGGTGCAGTTTAGTATTTACATTCTAGTTCCATCACCTACAAAGACAAATCTAGCCCTTGTTTGATTAAATGAAAAGTTATAACTGTCTAGAGCCATAGATCACCCATCACTACGACCTCTCAAAACAACCCAATTCCCTACCCCCAGGTCCCAGCACTCCTCCATCCTCTCACCCTTATCCACTTGCCAAGTTTTCATGTAAACCATTTTCACCTTGTAAAGAGGAACTATTTCCACTTGCAATATAAGTGGCCCACACACCTCTGATTCCATATCTATGCCGGCTCCAAAGGACACCTGACAAATTCAAAGGCACCCAAAAGCAGTGACTAGAGACTCTTGAGTGGGAGGACAAAAGAGCAAAAATACGTTCAGGGGCTGGACTGAGAGCGAGCTATCAGTGTAATTTCAATACAGTTTTTTCCCTTTCTTAAAATGTGTATACACTTTTTTGGCATCCTCTGTATTTAAATAAATTGAATAAATTATCATAATTTATTGAGTACCTTTCAGAATAAGTGAGAGATGAGGGCATGAATCACCTGTTTTCAGGATCATTGTTGTTTCTCTATGACACTCTCATGAAGGAACTCTCTTGTTGACTGAATCTTGTAAGTTTAGAGTCAAAAGAGAAGTTGTTTGTACAACATGGCAGCAAAACACAAGTTAACAACAATATCTGGTACTCCACTATTGAAATAATGATATGTTCCCACACTAGAGCAAACACAACTTAGCCAAGAGGAGCTTGTGACCCATCCAGGAGGTTTTGATGTGGTCTCTGCTGAGTCATTTCCAGGGTTTGGGTAGAGGATAACCTAGCGGTAAAGGCAAATATATGGGGGCACATGAATAAAATATCTGGTTCTTTTCTTCCTCTCCACAGGGGGCTTGGCCTCGGTTATTTACACAGATACCTTACAGACCATCATCATGCTGATAGGCTCTTTTATTCTCATGGGATTTGGTAAGTGATGACCCTGTGAGCAAAGCCCTGGGGCCAGAAATCATGGGATTTGTGTCTGTTCAGTTTGTTCACTCTTTACTGCTGCCTCTCAGTTTTGTCTGAACACATTTCCAATCATTTATATAATTCACATCTTTGCCCAACTTCTTTCTTGTTATACTATCTCAGCATGAAGAAATGAAGGAAAATAACTTCTTTTAAAAAATTATTGCTCAGGTTAATTATCTTGTTTACTCTTAATATCTTTGTGTTCAGAATGAACAAAATTAATCATTGGGTTGATAATTTTACAAAAATATTGGTGCATTGGATTCAATGCACAGAAACCCTTCATTTACATAAAATCTTCATAAAATGAAGGATTAAATATTAGGAAAAATTTAAGTAAGAATATTACTTCATTATGACTGCTTTGGATGGAAATTGTTAAAATACATTATTATTAGAATATACAAACACAGGTTAGATTTTCCCTTATGACTCTGATTTATTATAATAATATCATCAGTTCATTCTGGTAAGTAATACCAGCAAGCACTATTGATGCATCAAATTACAGCTTGCTAGTTTTGTTTTTATTTTATTATAGTATTTGTTTATATTTGCATAGGAAATTCATGCACACAGTAAAAAGGATATAGGGTAAAAATAAATGTCTTTCCATCACTCTTCTGTCCTGCAGCCACCATGCTCCATCCACTCAAGCTGTACTATATATAACATCTCTGAATATGTATGTACCTAATCACAAAGTTTGAAGATACATGAAGCAAAAAGCAATAGAATTGCAAAAACAACAAAGTTGGTGATTGTAACATAGTGTGGATCCCATTAGTCACATAAGGCTATTTAAATTTAAATTAATTAAAATGACAAATTCAGTTTCTCATTTGCCTAGCCATTTTTCAAATGCTTAATGTGTGGCTGTTGGACAGTACAGATATAGAACAGTTTCATCATTGCAAAAAGTTCTGTTGTACAGTGCTGCTTCAGAGGCAACTATTGGTATCAATTCTTTGTGAACTTTTTATTTAGTTAGTCAGAACCCCTATACTATTCTTGTTCATGAACCTTTGGTTTCTCGCCTCAGTGATGCACTCCATAGCATCAGCCTCTCTAACTCTCACATCTTCCATTCTTAGGATAGGGAGTGGGGACTCTCTCTCATCCTTTAGGGTCACTCATGTATTTTTGTTACAAACCATATTCCCCTCATCAGAACAATTTCCTTGTATTGTCTGTATCCTCCACTAGGTTGAATTCCTGCCTTGCAAATTCATTTTGCACATAATCCCAGCACAATATTTGGCACATACAAACATACTGGTGTTCATTATTAAATAAGTAATGAAGAAGTAAATTAATGTCAACCTCAACTCTACAAATGTATAATACTCCAATGAATTTTGCATCAGTTGAGACTTAGATGCCTGGGTTCATCTTTCTAAGGTTTCCATCTATTATGGTTCTTTTCTACACCTGTCTAGACTTTCCACACCCCCAGTGGGCTGAGTCTTACCATTTCCCCTCACCACACATAATCTGCTGCCTCTAGTTTCTGCTTCTTATCTTCTCAAATTTTTATTGTAACATTAGTAGAATATAGTATTGCACCAGAAAACTAGATTGTGCGTAACAAGGTCAGACCAGCCAGGCTCTGTGTCAGGAAGAGAGGCCATCACTTCCAGCCCCTTTCAGAGGAGTTTGGGGCTTTCTGATGGCTGATTTTGTGAGGTTCACTGTTAGCTCACTTTCAGGTTTGTTTCTGCTCTCTGGATGGTTATGAGACATCAATATCCGTCTGTTGGATAACAGTTCTATCTTTACCATTAGGCTAGACACTAAATCAAAATTTTCAAGAGTACCATAAGAAGAAAAGTTAAAGGGTAATTTGCTTTATAGACTTTGCAAAAGTAAATCTGATAGCATGGTTAAAGCCAGTGGAGGTACTAGAAATACACAGACCCTGGGAGAAGGACATTGAGGATTTGACCTGGCTGATTGGAAGTGCTCAGGTACCTTCACCATAAAAGAACAATTATGAACACTGGGTGTCTTAGATTTCTGTGAAACATTTTATTTCATACAATGCGTTTTCAGCGTTTGCCGAAGTCGGAGGCTACGAGAGTTTTACAGAGAAATATATGAATGCCATCCCATCCACAGTCGAGGGAGACAACCTGACAATTAGCCCCAAGTGTTACACTCCTCAGGCAGACTCATTCCACATTTTTCGAGATGCTGTCACCGGGGATATTCCATGGCCAGGAATGATAGTTGGAATGACCATCGTAGCTGCGTGGTACTGGTGCACAGATCAGGTAAAGTGCATGTGTGGTGTGTAAATATGTTTATGTTATTCTTTTTCCTCTCATAGGAAAGCATCTAGTTTCTGTTTTGTGTATACACATACATTGTTTGAAGAGTCAAACACTTGTACAAGGCTTGTGAAAAAAATATCTATCTGGTGTCCCTGCCCCTACCCTATTTTTGTCTCTCAAAGACAAACACTTTGAGCTCCTTCAATTATTTTGGTATGTATTTCTATTTGCTATAGCCTTGTATGGCTTGTAAACCATTGGCATGGATTTCACCTTGGAGCTCATTAGAAATAAACACTCTCAGATGCCACCCAGACCCAATGAATCAGAATTTGTTATAAACTTGATCCCCAGATTATTCAAAAGAATGCTTATATTTCTCCCTCTTGGTTTTCAAGCTTTTGGATTTTTCTATTGGCTTCCCATAATGAGAGTTGAGGGTTTAGCTCTTTCTACTTTCCATTTTCAACCCCCCCACAAGCATACCTTCTGTCCTCCCACCCTCCCAGTAGATCAAATTCACAATTTTGGTGAGATCAGCATTGAGTGCTACCATTTTTGTGACTACACAATAATAATTCATAGCTGAGCCACATAATATTCTCTTATTTGTCTTTAGCTTTTTCTTTTCTCTAGGTAAATAATTCTTCTAGTAAATAATTATTAATTTTTTGTTTTAAATTGTCTTGATAGTTATTACTCATTAAACATCAAGCCCTCTACAAATTGACTAATTCTCCTCTCAATACTTGCAAACACATCAAGTATTCTACCAACTCTTTTCCTCATTTTCTCCCGGAGCCTTTGGCCTCTCACAAACTGTCAGGTTGTTCTCTATGCTTGGTGCCCATCCTAATCCAGGACTCCCATTCAATACTATATTTTGGATTCCCTTTGCTTCATTCTTGTGTTATATCTCCTATTTCTAGTATGCCACATCATCTTTTTTCTGGGTTACTTCTTCTTTCAGGACAATTGAATTACCAGTAAGTTCTTGAAAAAGACAGGAGACAAATTTATTGTGAATTTACATATTTTAAAATGTCTTTATTCCAACTTTTCCAAAATGATCCTCTGGCTATATACACATGTCTAGGTTGGAAATAAGTTTCCCAAAGTCGTAGATTCATTGTCTTCTGACTTCCACCATTACTGTTGAGAAGTCTGAAGTTATTCATGATTTTTTGGATGGGACCTGTCTTATCTCTCTGGAAGCTTGTTTTTCCTTTGTCCTCAGTGTTCTGAAATTTCACCACAATGTTCTATGGATGGGAAGATTATTTCATTTTGCTTTCTTTTTGGGACTTTGTATTTTTGGGTGTTCCTCAGCTGGTTCTCTAGTGTTCTTAGCTTTTCTTCCCATCTTCCATCTCTTGGTCTTTTGCTCTACTCTCTCGGAGGCTTCCTCAACTTTATCCTCAAGTTTTTCTGCTTTTGTATTTATAATTTCCAAGATCTTGTTTATGTCTCCTGGATGTTCCTTCTTATAGCATTTGAGCTTGTTTTTATTATCTTTGAGTATTTTAGGTTTTCCTTACCATAAATAGTCTTTGTCAGCTCAAACTTGTAATTTCATAATTTTAACCCATCTTGAATCAACGGTTGCTTGTGATGTTAGTGTAGAATCAGTTTTCTTTTTCTTTATAAATAAACTGATTTTCTCAACATATTTACAAAAGAATGCATACTTTCACTATTGACATGTAAAACCATCTTTATTATTTATATTTTGCCTCTGGCCACCTGACTTGCCTCCTTCAAGTGGCCTCACATTCACCCTAAGTTCTAATGCCTGAACTTGTTTGCTCACAGGGATTTCTTCCTCACCTATAATTTGTGTTCTTCTTCCAACTGTCTGTTTTTAGCCTTCTATCTAAAAATATCAGGTGCTCCCCAACACTAAATAACACTGCTGCAATCCCTAATATATTTGTCTCTCCAATGAGGATTAAGCAGGAAAAGTAGTCCCTATTTTCTGACATTCCTTGAGAAGAAAAATGTCAAGAAGTTATGGCATTATGGGTAGAAATCTTGCTCGGCTAGAAAATTCTCAGTCAAGAGATTACATAAGTTAAGTACAAATTATGAAATTATATGAATTGATTTTCCTGGTACCATCATATTTCATTCATAACTCAGTGAGTTCCTCAGAATATTCTGAAGAAATCTAGAGATGAATGTCTCAGGGTCCTATTCTGATGGTTGCTTGACTCTGTGGAAATGGGCTTAATTTCCCAAGGGGACAATTGCTTCCCAATAGTACAGAGACACTGTGAGTATGTGGCTTATTTAGTGCCTACAATATTAAAAACACAACTTGTAGCAAAGATCAGCAGTGACAGCTTTGTAACTAGAGGAGCACATGGGCATTGTTGTAATGCAGCCTGGGATCTGTAAAAATATTTTAATAGCAGTAATGTGTAGTGAGTTTTGTGTACCAAGAGTTTTACAAACATTATATCAAATATTCAGAATGCCTTACAAGAGGTAACCCTATTTAAAGATAAGAAACTTGAAACACACAGAAGTCAAATACTTATGTAAGCGGAGTGAGGATTCAAATTCTGATTTACTCTGAAGCTCATTATTCTCCCCTAGTCATGACCCCATTTCTGATTGTAACATTAATCCCTAAAAAGAGGCACTCCCCTTCTGTGACCTCATTATCTGGTCACATCATGACTACATCATGTTTTCCCATCAGGTCATTGTGCAACGCTGCCTATCAGGCAAAGACATGTCTCATGTGAAGGCTGCCTGCATCATGTGTGGGTATCTGAAGCTGCTGCCCATGTTCCTCATGGTAATGCCAGGAATGATCAGCCGTATCCTGTACACAGGCAAGTCCTGAATTCATAAATCTTTTTTTATGCTTGAATTCTGTGTATTGGTTTTAAGATGTATTAAAATTTTCATAACTAGAAAACCCATTATGTATGGAGGTAAAAACAGACTTCCAGGTAGAGATAACAGCTTGTGCAGAGGGTCAGAAGGCAAAAAAAAAAGGTACATTTGACATACTGTTCCCTTATCTCTTTTACGCTGCATGACTGTCTCATTGTACTCATTTGAGGCTGTTTTGTCCTGTTTTCATGAGTGGCTTAGATTTGAGAAAGTCTAGAGAATAAAAAGGAGGATGAGGTAGAACTGGAAAAATATGAGTTAGGTGAGCTGTGGTGGTTAAACCCTCCATCGGGCACAACTGATCTCACAGATTCATTGCACACAAATTTTCAAATACGAAATACGTCTACTGTATTAAGTCACAAACATGAGTGGTGATAGGTTATGGTAGAGGGGGAAGATATGGAAGCAATGAGTCACGATACTTACCATATTTCCCCATGTATAAGACTCACCCTTTTTCAAAAAATTTGGGGTCTAAAAACTGGGTGTGTCTCATACAGTGGTTGTAGATTTTTTTACTTGCATTTCCCACTTTTTTGCGCTTGTTGTCTTTGTGCTCATTGTTTCGTACTTGTTACGGGTATATTAGGTTATGTTTTGCCACGTTTTGCCCAGAAATGGCTCAGAAAAGATTTCTGTACAGTGCTGAATTCAAATGAAAAGTGATCCAGTTTGCAAAAGTGAATGGAAATCATGCTGCTGAACGTAAGTTTGGTCCTCCTCCAACCGAGAAAACAATCCGAAACTGGCTATGGTTGGGAGTTTTGGTATTGATGAGGAGTTGTATAAATTTTATGATGAATAAAACTTGAGTTCAATAACTTTACGTAATACATTTTTTTTCAAATTTTGGGCCCCAAAATTAAGGTGCATCTTATACATGGGGAAATACAGTAAGTTAACTGTTAGGTATTTGAAAATTATGTGCAATGAATCTGTGAGATCAGTTGCACCTGACAGGGGGCTAAGTCCAGGACATCTCTGAATGAGAAGGTCTTAAAGATGCACTCACTTCTTGCTCCCTCTAAGATGGTTAGAGAATTCTACCCACTTTCACTGTTTTGGGATTGTGTGTGGTACTTTAATTTCTGAGTCAGCTGAAAAATCAACTTTATTTCTTTATTATGAAGAGTGAAGGAAATATGGCAGAACACTTCTTGGCTAATTGAGACCTCTGGTTTTTATTGGGGCAAGGCATCAGATAACACTGAATCCACTTCATGTTTTCTCAACTAGGCATCAGTTTATTTAGCTGAAATCTTAAGATGAACATCAAGTGACTGACATCCCTTCTTATTGCAACATTCAGTATTGTTTATTACAATAAAGAATGTATAGATATCAACAAGTAGGGAATGACCAAAGATATTATTGTATACCATCTTTATGGAAAATTGCACACAAGAGACTAAAGACTATCTCAAAATTTGGGAATATGCTGAAGTTATTATTATTATATATAAAGCATACTACAAAACACTACCTCAACAATTACCATAGCTATACAAAAAAGGCATTCCTCTGTGGAAAAGGATCAGAAGGAACAAAAACTAAAAGAAGCTAATGTGCTAATGTGTTAATATTCTGAGTGATTTTTATCAATTTTCGCTATCTGTTGTCATACTATTGTTTAAGAAAAAAAAAAGTAGGGCTGGCTGAGTGGCGCATTGGTTAAGAGTTGGCTTGGGATCACAAGCTCTGAGCTGCAGGCCCGCTGGTTCAGATCCCACATGGGCCAGTGACATTGCCCTCTACAGCTAAGATAATGAACAACAGCTCCACCTGGAGCTGGGCTGCCGTGAGTTGCCGGCGACGGCATAGGCTGCAGGGGGGCTGCAGTGGGCTGCTGTAAGCTACTGTGAGTGGCCGGCAGCCAGCGTGAGTGGCCAACAGTGTGAGCTGCCATGAGCTGCCATGAGCGGCCACCCAATGCCCAGCAACCTATCTGCCTCAGCCAGGAAGAGTGCAATGATCACAATACCAACATGGGCCAGTGAAGCAACGTCCTCCACAACTAGGCTGAAGAACAAAAGGACAGCAACTTGTCTGTTTCCCTTCCCTGATTCCCCAACCCTGTTCCCTCCCCCAATTCCCCCGATAGAATATATTTTTTTAAAGTATTGTGAAACTGTCACAATAAAGTGAGACATCATCCCATATGGGGCAACATCGCAACAACCATCATAAATGACACTTCTTCTTAGATATAGATGGAAAACACTGGGCTAAATAGCTTCATGCAGGACTAACTTCCTGGGTGGTGTTGTGGTGGTGGTGGTTTTATCTCTGGAGTTCTGTGCTCTTGGGAGGATTTATGCTTTTGCAGCTTTTCTGGAGGGTAGAATCAGCTCCCTCTGTTTGGTCAAATGTTCTAGCTTGACCACACCCCAAAGAAGAACACTACCCCTTAGGTAGTGCAAAGGGAGCTACAGGTGTGAGAGACACTTAGGAAGACATATTCTGGGCAAAGAGGGACCAGATCCATGGTATGGAATTCAAAGATGACTCTCCCATTTTCAGGCAAACATTTTGCCTCTTACCCATGATCTTACAACTTGTCTCTGTGTCCAGTGGTTGTAGATCTGACCTGTTTGGGCCCCACTTACCAAACCCACTTTTCCGAATCTATCCTCAGAGGAGGTGGCCTGTGTCGTCCCTTCTGAATGTGTGAAACACTGTGGCACTGAAGTTGGCTGCACAAACTATGCTTACCCAATGCTGGTGATGAACCTGATGCCTGATGGTAAGAAAATGTCCATGCTCAGATGAGTGAATGAATTTTTTAAAATGCGAAGATAGATTAGATGATAGATAGATAGAGATAGATAGATAGATAGATAGATAGACAGACAGACAGATATAGGTATAGATAACAGCACATTATTCAGCCTTAAAAAGGAAAGAAATGCTGCTGATTGTGACAACACAGCTGAATGAACCTGAAGGGCATTATGCTAAGTAAAATAAACCAGACACAAAATGACAAATACTTCATGATGTCACTTACATGTAGAATCTAAAGAAGTGAAACTCACAGAAACAGAGAGTAGTATGGTGGTTGCCAGAGGTTGAGAGTGGAGGAAATGGAAAAATATTGGTCAAAGGGTACAAACTTCCAGTGATAAAGTAAATAAGTTCTGGAGGCTTGATATACAGTATGGAGACTATAATTAATAATAGTGTATTGTATACTTGAAATTTGCTGAGTATTCTCACCACAAAACAAGAAAATGATAACTATGTGAGGTGATAGGTATGTTAATTAGCTTGATTGTGGTAATCACTTCACAGTATATACGTATATTAAATTATCATGTTGTATACAACTCAGGAGGGACCAGGTGATCTTGTCCTTTGGGCCCATCAAAGGTTAGCTAATGCTTCTGTGACCTTTCTCCTCCCTGACACACATAAACATTGTCAAGAGGAAGGGGGCATGACCCACAAGTGACATCACCCATCCACCTCATTCCATGCTTTGTCCTATGAAGTTTAGGGACATTATTAACAGGCAGGGGGAACCGCAGGATGAATTTGCCATAATATCTCAAAACTCTTTGTTCGGCTCATCAAGACTTCCTCAACAGAACCACCTACTAGGCTTTTTCCTCTCTAGTTCCCTAAGTCTACAGAAAGTCAAGAGTTCCTCCCCTCCCCCAAATACACTGTTTCCTCCTTCCAAATTCAGGTTCCAGCAAATGATCTCTAAGTTTATATTGAGAACTAAAATTCTATACTGGATTATTCTCCGATCACTAGGAAATATGCAGGAAATGCCACATATTGGTATGTGTTGATAAGTACATCAGTTAGTAAATGTTCCAGGTGACACTTTAACTTTGAATGACTCTCTGGTTCGGCAAGGCCCTTGTAGACCATCCAGCTTCTAACAAGTGCTTGCACCTCTTCCGGCCCTAGGACTGCGAGGTCTAATGCTGTCAGTCATGTTGGCCTCCCTCATGAGCTCCCTGACCTCCATTTTCAACAGCGCCAGCACCCTCTTCACCATGGACCTCTACACCAAGATTAGGAAGCAGGCATCAGAGAGAGAGCTCCTTATAGCTGGACGGTGAGAGAATCCTAGTTTCTGCATAAAATTTCTCTGGAAAAGTGGGAATACAGAAATGCAATAGAGCCTCCTCATCTTTGGGTTCAGAAAAACTAGTCAGAGTTTTACAATGGGTAAAGAGACATTCCAGGGCATTTAATCAAACTTTACCTCTTTCCAGATACAAAACTTGGGACCATACTTTTAAATCAAGTAGCTGTTTTTTTTCACTTTCAAATGCTTCTGATTGTCTATTATTCCTCTTCTCACATTCTCTCCTAATTATGTCTTCATAAAACTCTGACAATGTTTTTCATGGCATATAGCCTACTCTCGTAGGTTAATACATCATCTCTAGAAGTTTCCATGAAGGAAGTAACAGATTAGAGCCATTTACACACTATTGCAGAGGAGCTTACCAACTACATTCATTAAGAAATGGGGTGTCGAAATACAATATTATACAACATCAGTTTCAGGTGTACAGTGCAGTGATCAAGCCTCTTCCCCATCATATATATAGTCATGGGACGTGGAGTATAGTGTGGGAGTGGAGTCAACGGATTTGTAATAGATATGTATGATATTGGGGGGAAATGGGGCAGCAGATTGGGGGAAGAGGGGTTGTCACTTCGAGGGGTAAAAAGTATAACTATTGCACTGTGTTGTACAGCTGAAACTAATTCTAAAAAATGTGTATTTCATAATAAAAAATAATTTAATAAAAAAAAAGAAATGGGGTGTCAAAAAAACTGACTACCTATTTAAAAGATTGTGCTTTGTTGAAGACAGTGCAATTGCTTTGGTAAATTAAGCATTTGAGGGAGAAATTCCAAGGGCTCAATTGCTCCAGATCTTGGCTCTGGACAAATGCTACAGAAGAAGACCAGTAAGTCATCTATGTTTCTGTAGCAGAGAAAGTGTTGATCTAGAATTCAGTAGGCCCAAGATGCAGTAGTCCACTCTATTATAGGTTGAGATCCCCTTTAAGTCTCAATGATAATGAGTTTTTCTTTTCCTCTCTCTCTCTTCTTGAATACCTACTATTACCAGAATACAAATATGGAAAAAGGACACACATGTGAACAATAATTTCCTGCTTCAAGGATTTATACTTTTTGGGAGAAGATAAACAATTAAATATATTCTAGGAAGAAAAATAAAGCAAGATTAAAAGGCTACTTAAGACAAGTGCTCAGAGAGTCCTTCCTGAGGAGGTGACATTTGAGCAGAGCCCTTAGGGAACTATGAAGGGAGTCCCGTGGCTCTTTGGGGAGGGACAGGGAGTGCTGCATTCCTTCACAGTCATGTGTGCAGTGTGTGTGAGGACAGCAAGGGGTAAAGTTGGCCCATGAGGAGCAAGTGGGGGAGTGATAGGAAACGAGGTCAGAAAGTTAGCGGAGATGAAATCATAAAGGGCCATTTAAGCCATAACAGGACTTTGGATTTTATTCCATGTGGGGCTGAAAACAACTGAAGATAAGCAAGCAAAGGAGGCACATGATTTGCTTTCCAATGATAACAATAATGATAGCAGGTGTTATTTATTGAATCTTTACTGTGTTCTAGGCACTGTGCTTGGACATTCCATGGTTTATGACATTTAATTATTGCAAGGTTGCAGAGGTTTCGTAAAGTTTAAAGGGATCATTGAGCCTCAATTTCCTGCCCAAATGCTTTTCCCCAGTTCTTCTGATCCCCACCTCTCTGATTCAGGTGAACACAGACAAATGATGACCTTTTACAGACAGTCCAATAAATTATTATTGTTTGTTTATTCATACAACAAGCACAGAATATTGTGAAGTTTTAAAAAGTGAATTAGTCATGCGCTCTGGACTCCTGAAGCTTCTAATAGATTTTTCCTGCATATCAATATTTTAACCAATTCTTTCTACCTGCCAAAGTACTCAAGTAGTAAACTGCACAAATTAGATTTCTGGCCAATCAACTCAGCATTCTGGGAGAGGGTATATTTTCATCCTTACCTGTGCAAACTGACTGTTTCTCTCAAGCTAGGAAAAATTACCAAATTGGGACTCTGCTTTCTTTATCATACAAATAATTACTTAAAAATAGTGTTGTGTTTTTTTCTATTGACATGTTGCATTAGAGATATTAATCAGTTGCTGACATTTGAACTTTCCATGAATGGATATTTAATCTCACATTTGAAACTATTATGACTAATTACAGACAAGCAATTGCTTTACTGGCATTTCACTAACAGATAATCATTAAGCATGTCATGGCATGAGGTCAAGGAGCTTGCTTTTCTTTGGAAAGCCATTAAATGACCACAAGAATGAATTCAAGAACTAAAACACAATGGACGTACCAGTAATGTTTCTGTTTAATATTTAAATCATCTTGTTCTTTTTGCAGGCTATTTATCATTCTATTAATTGTCATCAGCATTTTGTGGGTACCATTAGTACAGGTCTCTCAAAATGGACAACTGTTCCATTACATGGAATCAATTTCTAGCTACCTGGGGCCTCCAATTGCAGCTGTCTTCCTGCTTGCCATCTTCTGTAAAAGAGTCAATGAACAGGTAAGTGAAAATTGGGAAAATTTTCCTGCTGGAGTGAGAAAATTTTATTTCTTTCATTGGTGAAAAAAAATGCATTCTTTTCACCCAATTTTTACAACTCAAGGCCCATCTACAAAGGTCTGACAATTAAGTTCACGAACTTGTTGCAACAATGTTGATTACCTTTTTTGATATCAGAAGGGTTATTCATTATGAATTTGTACCAGTTGGACAAACAATTAACCAAGTTTACTATTTGGAAGTGCTGAAAAGACTGCATGAAAAAGTTAAACAACCTGAACTTTTCACCAGCAATTCATGGCTCTTGCATAATGACAATGTACCAGCTCACACAGCATTGTCTGTGAGGGAGTTTTTAGCCAGTAAACAAATAATGATATTGGAACACCCTCCTTACTCATGTGATCTGGCCCCCAATGACTTCTTTCTTTACCTGAAGATAAAGGAAATATTGAAAGGAAGACATTTTGATGACATTTTCAGGACATGAAGGATACTATGATGACAGCTCTGATAGCCATTTCAGAAAAAGAGTACCAAAATTGTTAAATTGCTTTGAAGCATGGACTAGACACTGGTGTGGGTTCATAGCTTTCCAAGGGGAGTACTTCAAAGGTAACCATAGTGATATTCAGCAATGAGGCATGTAGCACTTTTTTTAGGATGCGTTCGTGAACTTAATTGTCATGCCTTGTAATTTCAATTGTGGTCAGCCACAATTCCTGATTTTTACTGAAGTGTGTAAATACATAGTGCACACTCATAAGACAGACTTTATATATCTTACAAAATATTATATACATACATGGCACAGTGCTAAGGGACACAAGTTTTGGAGTAAGACTGCCAGGATCCATTCCTGGCTCTACCACTTAATATTTATGTGATCTTATGCAAGCCATCTGACTCTCTGTAACATGAAGATAATCACAGTGTCTACCTTATAGGAGTGTTATGAGGATTAAAAGATTTTTAAAATGTGAAGTGTTTAGAGGAAAACCTACCACATTAATTATAGTTCAAAATATGTTATACCCCATTATATGTATATGTATACATATATTTGATTATCATGAACTATATATATTTAATCCCTAATTGTTCCCAGGTGTTAGCTTTATTATTATAATTTTCAGATGAGGAACAGGTGCAGGAGGTTAATATCATGTGCTCTCCACATGTCCACATGTTACTTAATATTAGTAAGTGGGATCTTGGGATTCAGACTCAGGTCTTTCTCCATCCAAAGCTCATACTCTTAATCTCTACGTAATACTATTTCCCTTAAACATAACATCTTGATCAGGGGAACAGGGAGCACATGCTTCCACCCCCATCACTTCTCAGAGAAAAACAAATGCTTTTAATTGTCAAAAGCTAAGTAGAACTATCATAACTATATAACATCAACTCTGTAAATTATATAAAATAAGCCATAGTTCTGTTTATGCTACAAAATAAATCACAAGTTTTTAGATCTATATATAAAATAAAGGTCAAAGTAAACTTAAGCTTAGGTCAGAGTAGACAGTACAGGTTTCCCTTGCTACCCAAAAGTAGAATGTCTCTATGAAAACTTTCCTAAGCCAAAATGGCATAAAGTGAAGAAATATTTACCATTAATTTATATGGAAAAAACTTTTTAAAACATTTTCAGACCCCCCAAAAATATCCTCCCTTAGTCTTTTCTGATACATTAGGACACATCTTACTAACTGGTGCACAAAATAAATCAAGATAAAGCACAGATACTCAAAGCTATGATGGCTTGGAGCTGAGAAGGTGAGTGTGGTTCCCAGGAAAGGAGCTTGGTGGGGCCACTCTCGTTGCTCTGGTGCTCGCTGTCTCTATAAAATGGCTTGCTGAAAAACACACTGAACGTTGTTTTCGCTTTTTATTTTTTCATAAAAGTGAAAATCTTCAGATTTCTTCCGGTTAATGAAAACAGGTGGTAATGTAAGTCTTTTGTAAAAAACAAAGTAGCGCATAACACAAACTTTCGAAAAGCAGAGAATACCTGTGGTGTCCTGGAGTTGGAGAATCAACAGTGCGACGGCGTTTCAGAACCATGGAGAGCAACAGCCCACTAGAAGCACACATACTGGCACATTTTCCCTACTTCGGCGACCATGTGTGCAAGGTTAGCCGTTTGTTGGTTCTTAGTGAAGAATGCCGGTAGGATGATAATTATGACCTACTAGACCAAGCTTTTCACCTTTTCTAAGTACCCTGATTTTGTTCTTATTTCTTTTGCAGGGAGCCTTCTGGGGTCTCATCATTGGACTGGTGATGGGCCTCATTCGTATGATTGCAGAGTTTACCTATGGAACAGGGAGTTGCTTGGCTGCCAGTGACTGTCCCAAAATTATCTGTGGAGTGCACTATCTGTACTTTGCCATGATTCTCTTTCTTGTTTGCTTACTGGTCATCCTGGGAATTTCCCTGTTAACAGAACCCATTCCTGATATACATGTGAGTAATGAGTAGTAGATATATGTTCATTTTAAAATAAGAGTTCTTTGCCTTCTAAAGCTTCAACTGTGTACAAGTCCCAGGTAACAGAATCAGCACCAGGAGCACTAGGAGAAACTTAAGAGATTATCATGCAGTCATTCAACAAAACAACAGTTTGCACCCAATATGTGTAAAGCACTGGTGAATTAAGAAATATGCGATTAAGAAATGGGCTTCATCCTCAAATAACTCCACAATGCATTTGGGAGGCAAATCTATACCTTTGTTATAGGATATCAGGAACTGAGTAATTAGTGTTGCTTAAGAGACTGGAAAATACTTCAAAGCAGAGCTGTCATCTGGGCTGGGCCTATTTGGGGGCAATAGAATTTAATGTACAGCACAAACACTGACACAGAAATTTTTCAAAAGGCTCATGGTATCAGGGGCAGAAAAAAGAAAAATAGAACAATCAGATATATTTTTTGCCTTTAAAATTGGCAAAAAAGGTTTAATATGAATATGTACAATATTGGTGAAGATGTTGAAAAATACCCGCTCTCCAAAACTGATGGTGAATGTATGAATTTTATAATATGTAGGAGAGCAATTGAGCAGTATTTATCAATTTTAAAGTTCTCATACCCTATGAGTCAACAATCCCATTTCTAAGAGCTTATTATATGGAAATACTTGTATAAGTAGGAAAAATATAGGTATAAAGATTTTCTCTGCAAAAGTCTTCTAATAGAAAAAAATGGAGACAACTCAAATTTCTATTGCTAGTGAAATGGGTACACAGTAATAGCACATTAAATATTATGCTGTTCAAAAACCTGAGGAGCTCTGTTACTTGTTTTTTAAATGTCTATGATATGGTTAAGTGGAGGAAAATACTTGCAGAATAATATAGTATTGTATAATATCACTTCTTGATAACAAAGTACTTGTAAGTAGATATATGTATATTTGTCAAAGAATAGAAAAAAATCTTAAAGCATATACACCAGAAACTTTCAATAAGAGGTTCCCCCCAGAGAAGCACTAAGAGGTCCAAAAAATATTAGTCTTTTTTAAAATTTAAATATTGCTTGAATAACTAATATTTTTGAGTTAATTACTAACATGTATATAACTTTTATTTGTTTTGCATTTGTCACTCATAACATTTGAAACAATACTTATTTGTATATTTCCTTGAGGAGTGGCAAATAGATTATATATGGATGGGGAAATCTGAAACACACAAGTGGTTCAAATTACTTTACCAAGGACACACCATAATTCATAACTAAATATTTATACTGATTATTAGGAGTGCAATGAAAGAATACTAGAAAACATATTACTATTTTCAAAAAAGTAAATATAAATATTAAACTCATTTGTACCAATAGAAATGGCCATAATTAATTATTAACTTTTAGGAAAAAAAGTGTCTGAAAGACCAGTGAGATCATTTATCTAATTTATGTTTATGTTTCATTAATATACTGTGAGGTTTGAACTTTCAAAATGGACTTATAAAAATCAAGTCATTACAGAGAAAGTCATGAGTAGTGTTGTGATCATAATCTAACAGTGCAGTAAAGATAAATCTCAGGATGATCTTTTTTGGCAAGACTAGAAAGCACTTGGAGTCCCAATAACAGATTTTAACAAAGAAAAGTAATGTAGTAGAAGAAATGCCATGATTAAGAACCTTATGAAGCTATAATTAAGAATCTTAGTGATAAGGTGAAGCATATGCTTGTTATATCAACAACAAGTAAGAAAGCCGATTACAAATTCTAGTAAATCTGCACAAGAAAGTCATGGGTCAAATATGAGGCCAGTTAAAATGAAGCATGGCTTTGAGCATATGATGGAAACAATTTAAAAACCCATTTGACACTTGGAATAATTTCCTTAGAATGACCTAGAGATGTTCTGGATCTATGGCACACACACACAAAAAACGTTACATAATAACATGAGTGCTATTTATCTTCAATTTTTTAAAAAATTGGGGATTTGGGGGAGGGGAACAGTGTTGGGGAATTAGGGAGGGGAACAGCCAAGTTGTTGTTCTTCAATCTTAGTTGTGGAGGGTGCCAGTTGCAATCTGGCTGCCCATGGGCAGCTCGTGGCCTCTAAGCTCAAGGTGCTGTGTTCAATCTTAGTTGTGGGTGGTCGTAGCCACCATCCCAGGTGGGAGTCCAACCCGGAGCCTTGTTGTTAAGAGCTCATGCTCTATCCACTGAGCCATCCAGGTGGCAGTTCAGCTCAAGGTACCAAGTTCAGTCTTAGTTGCAGGCAGGCATAGCCCACCATCAAACAGGCAGTGTTGTTGTTAGCATGTGCTCTCACCAGCTTAGCCATCCTGCCACCTGTTGGCAATTCAGCAGCAACTCAGGTCGGGTGCAGGGTCACTGCTCATGTGGGAATCGAACCCGTGGCCCTGTTGCTCAGAGCTCATGCTCTTAAGCTAAATCTTAACCAACTGAGCCACTTGGCCAGCCCTATCTTCAAATTTTTTAATCAACATACAGACTAAGCATGGAAATCTTAATTATATTTAAGGAAAATGATTAAAATTCTATAAAGTTTGACAGTTTTAAAATAAATATAAAGTTCACAGAAGTTTGGATGTGGGCTGGGAAACAGATGTGTAAGGGTATAAACTGCTATTGGAACTCAGTGATAGTACATAGATACTATCTAAACGTGATGGATTCAGAAATGGAACTAAAGAAAATGTTTAAAGTTATAAAAGTAACCAGTAAACAAACTGAAAGTAATAATGATGTAGCTCATCGCAGTTGAATGATAAGGACAATGAGTGAAGCCAGGGTATAGTGTAAGTTAGATAAATCTTTGACTTTTATGAAATTATAAATCCAGAAGTAGGAGCTTTAAACACATTATTTAACAGTTTTTAATAACTACCAGAAGAGTTAAAACCAGAAATAATTTTAAATGGTTAATGTGTTTTCATGACTGAGTATGGTAGAAGACATTTTCTTTATTATCTATACTCTTCTGTGCTGTATGATTTTTTTGCACTGTACAATAAACAAATGTACATTATTGTAAATGTTTGCTCATCACTAATACGCTTGTCAATGGTCTCTGGTTAGCTGTATCGCCTGTGCTGGACTCTTCGGAACAGTACAGAGGAACGAATTGATTTAGATGCAGAAGAGAAAAGACATGAAGAAGCTGATGATGGTATTGATGAAGGTAATATCTGGTTTACACTTGGTTTTCATGTAGAAACTCTATGTACCTGAATTGGTTAAGTGTTTTGTTTTGTTTTTTTAATGACACTAAATTCAGTTTCTGAAAAAGCTGTTAGATTTATGGCAAACTAAAACTTTAAAATCTTACCTTCCTAACAAGCAAGACAATTGGTTACATATGAAATCTCCTTGTTCAATCTGCCTCTCCATCAGTCTGTCTATCCATCTATCATCCATTCATGGATCTGTGTTTCAGCTCAAGGTGAAAATCAATTCCAATCTCTCCACATATTAAATGTTCAACAAATGAATCTTGATTGACTGTGATTAAGCCTCTAGCCTCACCCTCTCCAACCTTATTTCTTAGTATTCTCTCCAATACACATTCCATTCCAACCAGGCAGATTTCTTCATTTTTCCCGCACATATACTAAGCTCCCCAGAATATTTCTACCTCTTCTCCAAGAGGAAAAAAACCTTATTTTTTGTAACTAAGTTCTAATCTCATTTCCTTCATGAAAATTTCTCCAGCATCCATCCCCAAGACTCTTTGTTTACCTGATATTTTTTAAATTGCTGACCCAAGTTTAGCACTTGAGGACATGTTGTCTTGAACTGTACACTAATTGTTTTGTTTGGTTTTGGGTTCTTCAAATTCAAGGAAGGATCAATGCTTCCTACTCCTTTGAGATTTTTCTATCAGTGCTCCTGAGAAAAACTGGTCTGTAATTTTCCCTTTTTGTACTTAGTCTTTGCCTGGTCTTGATATTAAGATCATAGTGATCTATAGAATAAATGGGAAAATAGCCTTTTTTCCATTTTATGGAGATATTTTAATAATATTGAAATGATATCTCCATCAAAATCTTGGTATTTTGCTAATAATATTGCTAAGGACTGGTGAATTTCTGTGTGTGTGTGAGTGAGAAAGAGGGATTTTAAACTACTAATTAAATTTATATAAAGCCTATAGAACTATTTAGAATTTTCATTTCTTTATTAATCAATTTTGGAAAATTATATATTTCTAGGATTGTGACCATTTCATACACACAATAAATATATTGACATAAAGTTATTCATAATATGTATTTATTGTTTTTCCATCCTTACTTCCATAATTATCTCTTCCCTTTAATTCCTAATGTAATTTCTTTGTGATTTCTCTTTTTTCTTGATACATCTCACTAAAGACTTGTTTATTTTACTTTTCTCAGAGAATCAGCTTTTGTCTTTGTTTTTTCTTTCCATTATCATCTTTCTTTGCTATTTCATTAGTTTCTGTTCTCATATGTATACCCTACCATTTACATTATTTGGGCTTATTCTGTGGGTTATGTTTTCTAACTTAAATTGAGTATTAGTTCATTAATTTTCAGCTTTTCTTATAATGTAAATAACTAAGGTTACACATTTCCCTCAAAGTAATGCTTTTGCTGCATCTCAATGCTTTTAATTTGTAGAATTTTCTTTACCATTTATTTCTAAGTATAGTCCTACTTTCATTATGGTTTTTCATAGACATTTGAGCTTGAAAGTATGTTTTAAATTTTCTAATGCTGCAACAAAAAGCCTTGTACTTAAGGAATATATATATATATATATATATATATATATATATATACGATTTTATTGGGGAATTGGGGGAGGGGAACAGCGTTGAGGAATCGGGGAAGGGGAACAGACAAGTTGCTGTCATTTTGTTCTTCATAGGACATTGCTTCACTGGCCCATGTTGGTATTATCATTGCGCTCTTCCTGGGTAAGGCAGTCACTCGCCGGCCATTGGATGGCTTCTAACGGCGGCTCACGACAGCTCACAAAAGCTCACACCAGCTGATGGCCAGCTCCACTGCAGCCTACGCCTTCGCCGGCGATTCATGGCAACCCAGCTCCAGGTCGAGCTGTTGTTCACCATCTTAGCTGTAGAGGGCACCAGCGTCACTGGCCCTCATGTGGGATCCAAACCAGAGTCCTGCTGCTCAGAGCTGGCATCCCAAGCCAACTCTTAACCAACACGCCACTCAGCCGGCCCTTAAGGCTTATATTTTTGCCAGTGCAATTTTGAGATAGATTTTTGAGAAGTTTGAGTTTTGGGTCAAAAGATTAATGTCTATGCAATTTTGCTATGTACTGCCAAATTTCCCTCCATAGGAGTTATCATGTTTTCCTGGTAAACAATGTGTGAGAGTGCCTGCTTCCACATAGGCTCGCTAATACAGTATATTATGAAACTTTTGAATTTTTGCCACTGATAGATGAGTAGTGGTATCTCAATGTGGCTTAAATTTCTCTTTTTTGAGTGAATTTAAGAATTATCTTTTTCTTTGAACTCTTTGTTTATCTCTCTAGTATGTTTACATAGGGTTGTTGGTAGTCTTTTCTCTATTTCGAGAAACGCATTAATATTAAGGATATTAAACCCTTTGTGATATAAGATGCAAATGTTTTTCCACAGTTTATCACTTCCTTTTATATACTTTGTTTTTACTTTATGCCATGCAAAAGTTTTCCATTTTTCTATAATCAATGTTGTCTATATTTTCTCAGGGATTCCTCTAACACTTAGAAGTGGTTGTAATCATTCTTTACAGTAGTCTATACTACATTGACAGGAGTTTATTTCCCATGTTCTGTGATCATGTGTTTGTCTTCCTTTGTTTTAGATAATCCTGAGGAAACTCGTGGATGTCTCAAGAAGGCTTATGACTTATTCTGTGGTTTGCAGAAGAAAGGCCCCAAGCTGAGCAAAGAGGAGGAAGAAGCCCTGAAGAAGAAGCTGACAGACACATCTGAGAAGCCATTATGGAGGACTGTAGTGAACATCAATGCCATCCTTCTCCTGACAGTGGCAGTTTTTGTCCACGGCTATTTTGCCTGAACTTTATCTCAGCCACTAGAATATTTATTAAGCAAAGGATATTATTGATCTTTAGAGTTTGTTGTATCACAAAATGCAGATAAGCAGTTGGTAATTTTATCCAATGAGATGACTATGGACCTGACTTTTAGCTTTTGTTGTTCCTTTATGTCAAAAAATAAAGAAAAACAGTTGATCGTTTAGAAAGCCAGTGAACTGACTTCATATGTGTGTATAAACTAGGAGCATTTGAATCTAAATTCTTTTTTCTAATATCTCACCAAGTAGATTGCCCTATGTTACAATTGATTTCTGGGGCTGGCCAAGTGGCAGTTGGTTAAGAGATGGCATGGGATGCCAGCTCTGTGCAGCAGGGACCCAGTTCAGATCCCACCTGAGGGCCAGTGACACTGCCCTCTACAGCTAAGGTGGTGAACAACAGTTCAATCTGGAGCTGGGCTGCTGGGAGTCGCTGGTGACGGCGTAGGCTGCAGCCCCTGCTGTAGTGGGCTGCCATAAGCTACTGTGTGTGGCCAGCAGCCAACGTGAGCGGCCTGCAGCTGGTGTGAGCTGCCAAGAGCCGCTGTGAGCGGCTGTCTAGAGGCCGGCAACTGATCTGCCTCACCCAGGAAGAGTGTAATGATAATACCAATATGGGCCAGTGAGGCGACGTCCTCCACAACTAGACTGAAGAACCAAAGAACAGCAACTTGTCTACTCCCCTTCCCTGATTCCCCAACACTGTTCCCCTCTCCCAATTCTCCAATAAAATCTTTAAAAAAAAACTGATTTCTGCAATTTCCAGAGATTTCAACTTAGAAGAACTGCCTCTTTCAACTCCGCCTTACCTAGTAGCTCCTCATTATAAAACAGCGATTTTCTCCTCCAATCTTCACATCACTCATCTCAAGAATTCAGAAAATATAAATATTTCCTAATAGTTGAGGGAAGGTGATCTGGAAATGCCTGTTGTGAATATTTTTTTGAATTCCCTGGAAATTATTAGCTTATGCCTTAAAGCCATCGCCCACTAAATGATAGCACATTAAGCTACTGATTTTTAAAGCTACTTTATTAAAATATAATTCACATGCAATAAAATGCATCTAATTTAAAGTGCACAATTCAGCATATTTTAGGATAGTCACAGTTTTGCAACAATTACAACCTAATTTTAGATATTAACATTAATTTATTTATTGGCATTGTCACTTGAATATATGTATTTTTGTCTTTATTTCTGTTATTTTGACATTCTGAATGACAGTTGTCTCTATGTAGGATTATATATAAGTTAAAAACACACCATTTTAGAAGTAAATCAACAAATTAAAATGTTTTTTATAAATTGCATAAGAAACACCTATCTGTGTGTGATATTGTTATGAAAATTCAAACAAAATTCTATAGAATTAAACATAATACTCTGCACTGACAATTATCTTTCCCATATACTCCCACTAACTTCCCAGAGGAATAACTGTAAGTTTAAAGCTTATCTTGAAGTAATTTTTCCAGTTATTTGCATACATATTAGAACTAGAACATACACATCTTTACATAATGCAATCTTACTTTATGTGTTGTTCCATGACTGGCTTTTCCATATAAAATTTATCTTGGAGACTTTTGCCTATTAGTGCATATAGGTATCCCCTCCTCCTTTTTAATAGTTACACATTATTCCACATAATTATTTACTATAATTTGACCATTTCTCTACTGAGAAACATTCACATTGTTTTCAATTATTTGCTATTATCAACAATACTTGACTGACATACTGTATATTCACCTTTTGGCACATTAGATAGTTTTATTTTCTTTAATGATTGATTCCTATAAGTAAAATATTGGGTCGAAGGGTATAAACATTTAATACTTTGATAAAATTTAAAAATTTGTGCTCCAAAAAGAATTCACCAATTTATAGCCTCACCATCACTGTATGTACGGAAGTTCCTATTTACTCACATCCTTAATTACAGAGTATATTATAAATCATAATTAATGTTTGCCAATTTGATGACTGGAAAAACTTTTATTTTTTAAATTCGTGTTTCTCCAGTTATTACTGAGATTGTATGTACTTACGTAGAACTGCTTTTGCTGCATTCTATAAGTTTTGTATGTTGTCTTTCCATTTTCATTTGTTTCAAGATATTTTTGATGTCCCTTTTTTTTTTTTAGTTGGGGAGATGGGAACAGTGCTGGGGAATTGGGGGAAGGGGAACAGACAAGTTGCTGTTGTTTTGTTCTTCAGTCTAGTTGTGGAGGACGTTGCTTCACTGGCCCAAGTTGGCACCATCATTGCGCTCTTCCCGGGCAAGGCACATCAGTCACCGGCTTCTGGACGGCCGCTCACTGCGGCTGCTGGCCGCTCACGCTGGCTGCTGGCTACATACGGTAGCCCATGGCAACCCACTGCCACAGGGGCTGCAGCCTACGCCGTCACCGGCAACTCATGGCAGCCCAGCTCCAGGTTGAGCTGTTGTTCAGCATCTTAGCTGTAGAGGGCAGTGTCACTGGCCCTCATATGTGGGATCCGAACCGGGGCCCTCTGGCATCCCAAGCCAGTTCTTAACCATCGCGCCACTCGGCTGGCCCACTCTATGCCTTTTGATCATAGAATTTAATCCATTTTCATTAAAAGTAAAAACTACAGGCACACTGGCAGTTGCAAGGGCCCTGGATGCTGGTGTACTCTACCGTGGCTGCTAGGTCTTGCCACAGTTGCAAGGAAGTGGAAGCCAGTGCCAGGAGACAGGATACAAGCATGTTGGTGCACAGTTGGAGGGGCTAGCTGCAGGTGAGCCCAGTGGTGCATTTCAGCAACAGGAGACAGGGCTGGATCCAGGCCCACAATCAGCTGTGGGGGCCCTAGCTGTCAGCATGCATTTCTGTGGCTGCAGGATCTTGCCACAGGTGTGCACATGGCAGTGGAGGTCAGCTGCCAGGATCTAGGCTGGCGTCTTGCACTCATACACAGTCACAGAATACTGGGTTTGCTGCCAGTGCAGGTCCTGGATTCCAACAGTGGTAGGTAGGGGCTGGTGTTAGGGAGCCAGGGGGGATTCAGGTGGCTGTCATCAGTGAATACAAATACCTGTGGGGAAAAAACTGATGAAATCTGCAGGGGGCCTTAGACGCTGTGCTGGTCTTTGGTTTCTTCAGTTTTGAAAGCTGCTGGGATCCTCTGCAGAGCAGGTCACTGGAAACGACAGTTGTTCCCATACTGCGGCTGAAACTGGTAAACTCTGCTTTTTTTTTTTCTGGTTCCTAGCTGTCATAACTCAGCTTTCTAGGACTCTGGGTGGGATAGAAACAAAGGAGCTCCTTCATGCAGTACCCTAAAGAATAAGAAAGCTGCTTGCTCACCCCACTCTCCCTTTTCCAGGAAGGGAACTCTTTCTAGCTGTAGGAACCTCTTGTCTCTGAGCAATGCCAGCTTTGGAATGGGATGATGCAAGGCAAAAAGAAACTGTTCCCCTGATATCATGCTTATCTATTACAATTCCATTGATTCCATTCCCACTCTCTACTCCATGTCCCGTGACTATATGTATATATAATTATAGCTGACATACAGTATAATTCAACATCAACTTCAGAAATACAGTGTTGTGGTCAGGCCTCTACACCGACTATGAAGTGGTTCAGCTTTTGTTTGAAAAAAAAAAAGAAACTGTTCCTTATTCCCTTTGTATGCAGTTATTCTCAGGTTTTTTCGTTCCACTGTGTTGCTAACATTTCTTAAGTGGACTCCAGAGCTCTCCCAGAGCTGTTTTTGTTCATGGATAGCTGTGTAATTGCTGATCTTTGTGAGGGGATTGGAGGCTGGGGTCTCCTACTCCACCATCTTGATGATGTCACTTTTTCCCTCTTCTGTTCACTTTTCTTCAGTTTTTCTTTCTTTTCCTCAAAGTTGACAATTTTAATTGTCCTATATTCAAGTTCACTGGTTCTAGCTCCTGCCCACTCAAATTTGCTGTTGAACCTCTCTAGAGAATTTTCCATTTTGACTATTGTGCTTTTTCAGCTCCAGAATTTGTTTGATTCCTTTTAATAATTTCTATCCCTTAATTAATATTCTCATTTTATTCATACACTGTTTTTATAATTTCATTTAGGTTTTTTATTTGTCCATGTTTTCCTTTAGCTCTTTGAGTATATTTAAGGCAGTTGTTTGAAAGTATTCATCTATAATTGCAATGTATGAACCTCCTCAGCAACAGTTTGTCCTTTTTTCCTTCCCTTTGAATGGGTCATACTTTCATCTTTCTTTGGGTGTCTTGGAATTTTTGTTTTTTTATAAAAACTAGACATTTGACTATGATATTGTGGTAACTCTGGAAATCATTTTCTCTCCCTTCACTATGTTTGCTCTTTTACTGGTCATTGAAGACTGTAGTAATTCACTTGTTTAGTGATCTTCCCAAAATTATAAAACCATATTCCTTGTTGATGTAGTCATAGAACCTTCTGTTTCTTAGCTTTCATTCTTCTGTTCCTCAGATATTGTTTTGGTAGTGATTTCCTTGAATGCCAGGAGCTCTCCCCAATCTTTGCAAATTGACTCTGTTCTGGGGCCCTCCTTCAACTTCAACTATCCAGGCTTGCACTGAGCCTAGGGTTCAGATGAAAGCTTACGGTCTTCTCAGGTCTTTTCCAAGTATGTGTCTTGCCCTGGTCATGCACATGACTTTTTAAATTTCCCAGTATATATGGTTGCTTTGGGGTGTTCTAATTTCCCAAAAATACTTTCCCCAGATTTTGCCTTAAACCGTCTATTATATGTTTTGACTGTAAGCTTTGCCTTGGGTGTCTGAGGCTTGTTAGTTTGGCTTGCAGTGTTTTCCAAGCTTTTCCAATCTGAGTTCAAAGATAGGTGAAACATAAAGGAGCACCTTGTGTTAATACTTCATGTATCCCCCAGACAGGTTAAAAGAAGCATACACAATAATTTGTAAATATGATCTGCTCCATGCCTTCTGGAACCAGGGAAGGTGTTCCACACTGGG